AAAATAAGATAATACAAAAAATGTTGGGGACAAGCAACCAAGCAAAATTCAAAGCGATATTGCTGGCGTAATGACATTTAAAACACCCTAAGACAATAATACAGAGATTTGGTTGCCAGCGCCAAAAAAACTAATATGCGGATATAAATAAAGCATAAAAAGGCCCCAAAATAGGCTCAGCACATTGAGTTAAAAAGGTAATAAAAGAATTAAACAGGTCCAGGACTAGGGCACACTACCCTGTCAGAGTAGCCCTGAGTTTCAGAGCCTGCACTGTGAAGATTGCCACCCCACGTGAAATTTGGGGATTTGCGTCCACAAGAAGTGCTTTCAGACAGTCTTCCTTAGATGAAATGGAGGACGGGATCAAGAGGAGGAGCTTAGGTCTTATTGGGTCATAAATAGGGCAGTAGAAAAGAAATGAATGAAGTCCTCTACTTCATTCATTGTGCATGGACATAGACGCTGAGTAATAGGGGTCTTAGAGTAGGTCCCCTGCAGGAAGGCCGTGGGTATAGAATGAAAACGGGCCATTGTAAACGCTCTTCTCAAATTGGGCTCCGTCAGGTCTATCAAGTAGTTGGCAAGTGATCTTACCACTTTCACTTTAGGGAGCCACATGGAGAGGCGAGCTGAGGTGGACTGTGCCCGGTCCATGGCCTCATCTCTTATAAGAATCCAGGCCCGGATTTTATGGTGGTCCCAAGATGACAACGTGTCAAATTCTGGGAGGGAGTAGCGTACGGTAATAGTCTCCATGGCCTTGGACCATTTGTTGGAGTGAGAACAAGTTAAAAAGGCTTGCCTGGCTAGTAGGGAACCTGGGGCATTGATTAATTTGCAATAAAAACTAATAATTCTAATGTGGGCTCTCGCAACAATGGAGGGAGGCCCAGTTCTGTTCTTAACTGAGCAGCAACCGAGCCCTTGGGGAGACCCAGTATCTTTCGTGCAAAAGAGTTTTGTAGAATCTCCAGCCGTTGTAGTGTTTTTAAATTCCACCCCAGATTTCAACCCCATACAGTAACATCGGGAGGACTTTGCTAATAAATGCTTTTCTGATTGGTGGAACCAACTGGCCGCCTTTTGCATAGAAGAATTTCTCCAAGGCTTTGATGGTTCTACGGGCAGCCAGGATGGTCATATTTAGGTGAGCTGACCAGCTAAGCCCATGCTGAAAAGTGATTCCCAAATACTTGAAAGCTGAGCAATATTCAATAGAGTGGCCCTCAAAGTTCCAGAATGACTTCCGAGTTTTCGTGCCAAAAGTAAGAATTTTGGTTTTGGCGAAATTGATTTTGAGGGAATTGGTATCACAATATGTCATGAGCCCTCTGAGCATGTTGTTTAAGCCCTGCTTGGTTAAAGACAGTATCACCATGTCGTCCGCATAGAGTAATATGGGGATCTTGAGCTGTTGTAGAGAGGGGGCAGATTGATTTAGGGCCTGCATAGTTGTAACGATGTCGTTGATATAGAAATTGAATAGAAAAGGGGCCAAGAGGCAACCCTGTTTGACCCCTTTATTCAGAGGGAAAGAATCAGAAAGAGCTCCCAGGGGGCCGAATTTTACTCTGGCCGATATGTCATTATGAATTTCCATAAGAAGAAGGAGGAGTCTCTTATCTATGTTGGTGTAACTAAGCTTCTGCCATAGCCTATCTCTGGGAATGGAGTCAAAAGCGGAGGTCAGGTCCACAAAAGCCGCGTGTAGTTTGCAGTTAAACCTGTTTAGGTATTTATCAATCAGGGTAAATAGAACAAGACATTGGCCAGATGTACTGTGACCTTTACGGAAGCCAGCCTGTTCCGAGTGGAATAGCTTTGTTTCTTCTGCCCACTCGATTAATTTCTCTAGCAAGAATCTAGAGTAAACCTTGTATGATATGTCTAGCAGGCTGATGGGTCGATAGTTACGCGGATCTTGTGGGTCCCCCTTTTTATGTATTGGGATGACTATGCTCTGTTTCCAATTTGGCGGGATCTTAAGAGTGGCATTAATAGTGGTAAAGAGAGATGCAAAAATAGGGGCCCACCACATCTGGTTCAATAAGAATACCTCGGGTGGAATCATATCGTCCCCGGTATTTATCCCCATTATAACATTCTAATTAGTTGTACACATCTCTCTGGGGAGACTGGCTCCCAGGTGGGCAAGGCAGATGCAGGAAGAGTGGAAACTGCGTTTACGTCGGAATCTGGGGCGGAGTACAGCTGAGCAAAGTGAGAGTGCCAACTGGCTGCTGTGATGTTATTAACGATGAATGAGGGGGGTCTTAAACCTGCATTAATTAAATTCCAGAATTTCTTGTCGTCACGGGTTTTAATGGCCACTGACAATGCCGTCCAGCGTTCTTTCGCAAAGATCAATTTCTTATGTTGGAGCAACTTCTTGTAGTAAGAACGGAATTGGGCTAACTCCCTGATTTTGCTCTGGGTGCTGTCTGATTTCATATCAGACTGAAGAGATCTAAGCCTACTTCTGCACTGTTTGCATTCTTGGTCGAACCAAGTTTGATTCTTCCAGGTTAGACTCGCACGGGAGGGTTTCGTAAGTGATGGGAGCAAGTAGGCTAGAATTTGTTGGAAACTTGAGAAATGATTCACATTCATTGTTACCAGCTGAGCTTTCAGGGCTAGGATCTCAGGGGAATTTAGGAGGACTTTTATGTCTTGCTCCAGATAGATATCCCACTTCTTACGACCGGGGCTAAGGTCAGAGAATCCTGGAGGAGGAGTGAGCTGGGGAGCCCCAGCTGTGTGTGGTGGAAGGAGATGGCAATAGGAAGGTGGTCACTTTCGGTTCTGTTGAACACATTGAAACAATATGCCTTATCATTAAGTGCCGATGAGGACCAGATATAATCTATAACGCTTGCCCCTCTAGATCCTAGAAAAGTATAGCATCCCCGGACCAGTCTTTGGGTGTACCATGCATGCTGTGCAGCCCGCAGTTAATGGTAAACTCCAGCAGTATGATGCCAGCCCTATTAATGGTCTTGTCATGTGAATTCCACGTAGGAAACCACTCCTCTTCTATGAATAGTTGCGACTTATCGGTGAATGAGCTTATATCTGCTCCGATTCTGGCATTAAAGTCCCCCATTATGAGGATCTCTGACTTTGGGAATTCAGCCACAGATTTATCAAGGATAAATCTTAGATCCTCCCAAAACCGATTTGTATGGGAAGAGGAGTAGGTAGATGGATTGTACAAGTTAACACATATGAAGTCCCCAACCGGGCTGTTAGTGATGTGCAAAGTTTGAATACAATTACTCTCTAACCAAAGGAGAGGAGAGATATTAAGATGAAGCTCCTGCGAAACAAATGTTACCAGGCCTCCACTAGGGCGCCCATGCAAATGTGTTTTGGTCGCAGGAATCACAAAAGCATCATAGCCCAGTAGGGAAGGGGGGGGTGACGATTCTAAGCACCAGGTCTCTTGTATACCCATAATCTGGAATTTCGCTAAAAACTCTATCATATCCCCGCCATCCTGTTTGGACGTCCATCCCGCCACGTTCCAGGATAGCACGTTGAAGCAGTTTGGGGAGGGACTATGTGCTAGTCAGATACTCTGGTTGCTGGTGGAAGAAGCATTGCCAAGGGTCTGAGACCGCGCCAGGCGTGATACAGCCGAAGGTATCGAAGGGGTGGTAATTTGATTGATGTGGCCAGCAGGGTCTTCAATAAAGCCTGAGCTGTCTCTTTGCACAGTGGCTTCCTTAGCGTTTATATATTGGCTTGAAGAGGTTACGGATACAAGAGGTTCTACCAAACGGGGTTGACTGACAAAGGACGAGGATATACAGTCATCTGCCTGGACCGCACTGAATGAGGACTCCAGGTCAGGCATGGAAGAATAGGACATTGACAGATTACCTGGATGAATGGTGTTTGGCATATTGCTCTTTAAGGCGAGGGACGAGGTAGTTGATTGCAAATCTATTAGTAGAGGTGAAGAGGGTCTGCGTTGCGACGGTGTATGAGGAGCTTCCGCCAGGCAGACTGCCATATCATCCGTTATTGGAGTCCCAGTGATTGGCAGGGGTTTCTGGGGTGTTAGCCCCTTCATGACTGCGTTCCTTTGATTTAATAGGTTGCTATGACCAGGTTTTGAGGAGATTTTCTCTTGAAGTACATGTGTAAGTTGCTGCTTGAGTGTATCAAGCCTGTTTATAACTTCCTGCTGTTCTACTAATGGCAACTCGCCATAGGATGAAATAAGGTCCCTCTCCTCTGAGGAAGCCAGATGACTGGGTCCGCTTTGGTCATGCTTCTCTGTTGCTGGAGTAGATAAACCAGGAAGCTTGGGCTGAGAGGGAGGGTGAGGTTCCTGGGTGGACAGCTTGAGTTTCAAGACTATGTCGCGCCTGTCTGGCGAGCGGATACCTTTTTGTACGATGCTACGGAAAAGAGGTTTAGTCCTGGTGTCATTAAAGACTCTCGTTGGGAAGATGCCCCAGGTGGCCAATAACGCTTTGCGCCTAACCAGTATGGAGGGAATTTTTGGTGACTGGAAGGAGAGCAGTACTTTTTGGAACCGATGGTGGTAGTATAAAAGTTTCACTGTACTGAGATCTATTAGCGGAGGCCTAATCTGTAGGAGTTGCCTTAGATGATCTTTGACCTCTCTCGGGTTAATCCACCTTGGGGACCTGGGGTCACTGCTGCGTATAGTTAGACATATTTTGTTTGGTTGTAAGATCAGAGATTGAAAGTCCAGTTGAGATTTTAGGAGATGAACACCCGTACCACTTTCATGTCTAACAGGGAGGTACACCACTGTCTCTTTAAATCCCTCGGAGGCAGAGTGAGGTTGTGCTGCAGCTCCAGCAAATGGGCCTCAAGCTTTTGGTGGAGATTATTCACCTGCATGGAGATCCCATTTATGCTCTTAAAGATGCAGCGCAGGGTCCTGGTTATTAATTGGAAATGCTCGAATCCCAAACCATCGCCCAGGGCCAACTCGGACTCCCCTTCGAGGTGACTCTCACTTCTTTGTCATTATCATTAGCATTTTCGTTGCCTTCGAGTTCACCCCCTCCACTTCTATATCGGGTACGAGGTCAATTAAAGGATTAAAACGATTGTGAGTTTCAACCGTGTAGCTATCTTCCTTGTTATTTCTGCTACAGTTAAGAAGGAAAGAATCAATCTTAGACTGTTTGGGCCTCGGGGGAGGCATTGCCTCATCCAGGTCCCTTGGCCGCTTGCCATGGCCCATAGTGGAGATTAGGAGAAATATCCGCAATAATTGGAATTGTCTTAAAGCACCTTAGAGAGTATTGCGGAAGGCAGAGGAGTGGTGAGCGAAGAAAAAAATAAGATAAAGTTCGTTGCTTACTTACAATTCTCAGTCAATTGTCCACAAGTACATGAAGATACAATGATGGAAAAAAATATCCTCTCAGAAAGCTCTCCTCAAAATGTCATGTCCCAAATTTTTGGAAGTTCAGCAGCCCTCTGACTGCAGCAAACCTCCTCACAGCTCCGGGAAATCGCCATCAACTCTCCCAGTAAACACATAATTATTCCTATAAATGTGCAGCTCGGCCAGAAATGCAACTCCAGAAAGCGGCTTGAGAAAGAATATATTTTATATATATTCTTATTCTTATATAAATTCAAAGACTATCTTCAGAAACACTGCAAAATTAAGGAATGTTAAAGTGATGTTGGATTGCAAATAAGTGGTTTCCAGCTGTACAGGTTAAAGCTAAGGATAGATTAAGATTAAAGATTAAGATTAAAGATGTTTAAAGAAATGGAAATTAGATAATAAAAGGGAAAAATTTAAAGGTATATGACATTAAGAACAAGGATTATGTTTAAAAAAGCTGAAGCTATATAGTTTAATATTTCATTAAATTAAAGATTGGGTTTAAAAAGTGGAAAAGAAACTGCTGGACAAATAATGTAGATTGGAATACAAAAGAGGGAGGTATGAGGAAGTCCAGAAAACAAGTAATTCAAAATTGGGAATGTAAAAGAGAGTTTGTTTTAAATTGTTATGTTGTGTGTTTTTATTGTTAAATTTTGTATTGGTTTTTTTTGTGTTGTTTTTTCTTTTTTCTTTGTTTAAAACTTTAATAAAAATTATTCAAAAAAAAAAAAAAAAGAGAAAGAATATATTTTAGACTCCCAACCTCATTTTGTTGGCCAGCCCTTCCCAGAGCTGAGCAAGCATTTCAAAATTGTAGGCGGCACAATCAAGTTTCTAGGCACTTGCTGTTTCCCACCGCCCTGCAGGACAAACCACTCAGCCCCTCGGGTCCCTTTCATCTGCAATGGAGCGTCCACCAGGTGTATAGGTACAGGTACCTTGCATCAGCATCTCCATGGCCGTATGCTGCTTCATTAGCTGCCTGTCTTCCATGTCACTGTCAGATCCCTCATCCTCATGGATCTCTATATCCGAGTCATCATTGTCTAAATAAAAACAAGAATGCCCACCAAAGACTGTTATTAGGACATCAGCTCCATCTCTTTATGTTCTTTGCTTCAGCTTGAAGGAATGATTGTGGGCTGACAGGCAGACCACAGCTCAGCAACAGAGTAATTGCTCTGTGTGCAAGAGAGATCTCCGGTTACGACTCGGGAAAGAACTTTGCTTCAGGCATGGCACAGGGGAATCCACACTCAAGAGTACACAACTTTAAATAATAATAACAATAAAAACACAGTCGAGGTGAGGAATGACTTTTTAATTGAGATGGCAAAGAAGAGGTGCTTCAAGCTTCCCCTCAGTGCTGCTGCTTCTGTCAAAATTATTCCCTTCTGGGACTACTATTAGCATCGGTTGATAGGGGTGGAGAGGATAGGGGGATAGGCTCTTGGTTGCCATCTCCCTCACACTGTAGGTGTTTAAATCCTACTGCCATTTAAGCAGTCTGAACAATGTGCAGGATTGCAGTGCAAGAAGATGGCACTGCTTCTGTCCAGAAAACTCACATATTGATATGAATGGAACAAAAGAAGACTGTCCACTAAAGGAGACCCTCCATTTATTGATTTCAGATCTTTTACTCTCAGAGATCTAATTCTACAGTGTGTGAAGGTCAGGAGTAGCTACGTGGTCACAGCCATTAGATTTTTCATGTGGTCTCTGCAATGATCACACTTAAGAGAATCAGCTTGGAAATTTGATAACATTGCTCATTCCTTCTTATCATGCTGGCCAGTTATTCCCAACAGAACACAAGATGAGCGGTGATAAATATAGGGTACATTTGCTGTCAAGCTGGGTGAGCCCGCTCACAGATAACTATTTACCCCTGTTCATAACACTGGAACCTGCAGCTCAGTTCAATGGAGCTAGCCAGACTTTGAAATATGCCAGAAACAGCTCCCCGAGCTGCCTTCCATCTCATCTCCTGCAGATAAATGACGCAATTGATTTCCATGCCCTTCTCAAACACAGTTAAAAGGTCCAGAGAAATCAGACACCTATCAGAACACATAGAAACACAAATACCACTTCCGGGTTAGCGCCATCGCCGAATGGCGGACTCCCTCCGAGCTCCGGAGGGAGTCTGCTCGGCAGGGGCTGGGTCCTACCGCGCCGGCGACGCGGGGACCCTTAAAAACCACGGGCACGGAGTCCGTGGACATGGGTGACTCGGCTTGCACCATTAGCGCCCTCCCGACTCGTGAAGGAGCCTTTTTAAAGGCTTCGGATCGGGTGCCGGGAGTGGCGTGGTGCTGAGTCCACTGCTTTCCCTGCCGGGCGCAGCCGCATGCCATTCGACGGAGAGCGCTGACTTCTTCTATTGAAAATTTGGACTATTAACAACAACCCGTGAGTAATTGGGAAACCGGGTTCAAAATTTTGGATTTGGCACGAGCGGGGCGATTTAAAAGGAAGTCAATCCCCCTATTGTAAGCATTCCAAAACAAGGACTGGGTAACCAAGGTCCAAAGGGAAGTATGTTTCTGATAAAAATCATTAATTTCACGATGGGAAATTATAAGAAATGTGCTGGAGGAGAAGAGTGGAGGGTGAGAAGAAAAATGCAACCCCCCCCCTGGGAACCGGGGCGATTCGTGGAGCCTGGTGAAGAGAGACGGAGACTTTGACAGCTGTCAAAGTGGCTGTCAAAGCTGGAGAATATAAAGAGGACTTTGTTATGAGGACCTTGCTGGTTAATTTTGTTACAATTTGCTATAATATGGATACAAACTGTTGGAAAATAAGCAACAATTTGACTTTTGGATTAGAGGATACAAAGTTATTACAATCCCCCTAGAGGGGTTTCGGGATACTACAAGAACGGTCGTAAGTGGAAAAATACCCTGGGATTCGCACAGGATTTGTTATCTTCTGGGAAAGCTGCAAAACTGAAAGAGTATTTTGTCTACAGAGGAAGACAATGGAATTTTTATTGAAGAAAGAAAGGGACTGGACGTAAGTTTTTGTTCCTGAATAACAAACCTCTGCAGAGACACTAGATTTCTGAATTAGAAAGTTTTAGCAGCTGAACAGGACAAGAAACCTGAGAAAGTGAGGAATAAGAAGAATAAAGGACTGATTACGACACGGAAAGAACAACGGGAGGAGTGGTAAAGATCAAGGAAATTAAAGGCCTTTGTTAGATTGGACATTTGAAGTCAAATATTATTTAAATTAATAAACTAAAAGAAAACCGGCAAGATGGAATCGGGAGAAATCTGGTCATGAAATGAGACTTCCAAGCTGATAATGTATAGACTGATGGACATGGGGAATTCAAACCGGGGAAGGGGGAGATTTGAAATCCAAAGGCTGTGTAACCATTTTTTGAATTTTCTATATCTCTTATTTTCTATTTCTTTACATAACTTACGCATGTTATTTTACTTTGATCGGACGTGTTTAAAAAAAGGGAATTTGTGGAAGGAACTGGGGTGGATCTTGGGGAAAATCTTTTTCTTTTTCTGTTAATGATGTGGGACGGTGGTAAGATTTGTACAATTCAATCTGGATAGTGGGTTAAACAAATTAAGCTTTAAATTGGGAGTGAGAGCTTGTAGAACCAAATTAAGGAAAGGGAATACAATTGGGGGGAGGGGAGTCCCAGAAAGTAGGGAATGAAAGTAAGATTTTTAAATATTTTCTTTCTTTTGTCTTTTTTCTTTGTATTTTTATATTTCTGGAAACTTTAATAAATATGATTTAAAAAAAAAAAAAGAAACACAAATACCTATAGGCTTGCATGGGGAAGATAGTGGCTAGTCAGAGCGTTTCAGAAGTTACAAATGTAGGAGTGGAGAACACTTTGAAATTTGATTGTTGCCTACACATTCATCACAAACAAGGTTTTGGAAGTTTCTCTCTCTTTTCTTTTTACTGTGATCTTTTCTAAAGAGAATCAGCGTCATCCAAAACCACCAGGAAGTAGGGAGGTGCCTCACTTAGGGGAAAGAAAGATCAATATGTTCTCAATTCAAGAAGATTTGTAGAAAATTAAGGATCTCTCACCCAAGTGAAATTAACAAACTGACGTAGTAATAATTATTGTAACAACAACAGCAACAACAGCAACAACAACAACAGGGACAAAATGGGCTGCGGATTAATTACAAAATGTTCTTCTCTACATTCCAAACTTCTATTAGTCCTGGTTCAACGGTTATGGCTTTCCCCCAGAGAATCTTGGGGATTGTAGTTCAGGAACTTCTAACAAAAGATTCTCAGCACCCTCACCCAAGTCCCCTGCAGAGAGGACAGACTATTTCATCAGTTTAGAACTGAACATTAATGGGGTGGAGGAAACTGTGTTGCACACCATCAGCCGTGGCATCTCATCTGTCCTTCCTACAATAATGCAAAGTGGGAACAGAGAGGTGCAGTTCTAAGGGGGAAGGCTTCCTCTCAGTGGCGCTGGAGTGATGGTTGCCTGCCTGATATACTGCTGCCACTGCCACCTTTTTTCCTCCAGGCAGGGAGTGGGGGACGTCCAACCCACAGGCAAATCCTGGCCCACCAGGGGATCCAACTGGCCACCGGGCCATTTTCCCCCAAACCACACCCATCCTCTCATCCGCTGAGGTCACAGGTGATGTCAGCTGATGGCTGGGAGGTTAGAGCTTAATCCTGCATGGGCGTAGCCAATGGGGGGGGGCAGGAAGGGGCAGCTGCCCTCCCCTCAATAAAAATCAATAAAAATACATAGCTAACTGAGGTTCTGCCCCACCAACAAAAATCCTGGCTACGCCCATGATTGGCTGCACCACCCCATTCCCAGCAGGGAGCAGGTTCATGCAGCCTAGGCAGCAGGATTTAATCTCAACTCACCAGCTGCCTTATCCTATAAGGGGGCAGGGATGGTGGCTGGGAGATGGAGGACTCCCTCACGCCACTGCTGCCACCCACCCACTTTTTAAAAAAAAACAAAGTACCATTTGAAATTGCCTCTCCCCACCACTTTAAAGAGACCCATGCTGTAGTTCCACAAAGCAGCTATTAACAAAAAATACAAATGACTTCCCTAAAAGATCCTAACATGTAGATGGAATCAGATGAGGAAGGTAGTACAAATTGTGTCTTTGTATGCCACTAATTTCAGATGTAAACCAAAATTGAAGAAGGAAAGAAAGACCCACACCAAACCCCAAAGGTTTTTAATAAATCTTTCACTGATCATACTTTGTTTCCACCTTAGCTGCAGGCAGAACCCACCAAGAGATGTGTCACTTTCTCAATAAAGCTTTGTTCAAGCCAAGAACAATATGTGCTTCATGTTCACTTTGGGAACTCAGATTTCCCCACGGATCAAAGCTGCTCTTGTTTGCCCCAGTTGCTTCAAATCTTTGTAAACAAAAGCAAATATGTGATATACTCCATTTGAGCAGCTAAGCCCCAGGAGCTCATCCACTGCTTCCCCAAACAGAATTTTGCCAATACTGTAACAACAAACAACTGAGTTTGTAAAACAGAGGCAGTTTTATGATTGAGAAGGAATTATGCTCCAGAGGAAAGCTCTGTCATTGAAAGTCCAGTCCTGTGTACTTCAGCAGACAAGCCTCTGGGATGAGGATCCTGGTTCAAATCTCATCTTACCTATACACTCACTGAGATGGCCTTAGGCAAATCTCAAAGCCTCAGTCCGCCATCTGCATATGGTGATCACTGAGAGTATGTCCATGAACTGCTCTGAACGTTCTAAGAATTACGTATCTGAGCAAGTGTATTTATTCTCCTTCAGACTCCTCTAAATTCATTTTTTAAAGTCCTTGGGCTTCATGTTCAAGTCTGATTATGCTCAGCTTTGCTCATAGCCAACCTTTCAGAGAACCATCTAATTGTAGAGTTGGAAGGGGCCTTGGAGATCATCTGGTTCAACCTCCTGCTCAATGCAGAATCAAGTTCCAGGGTAAAAATCAGCTGGGGAAAGGCCCTTTCAAGTCTCCTTCTAGAAGACAGCTGCAAGATGAAAAAAAATTCAGGATCTACAACAGGCATGGGGAAACTTTGGGCCTCCAGATGCTGCTAACTACAACTCCCATCAGCCCCAACAAGCATGGCCAATGAGCAGGGATTATGGGAGTTGTAGTTCATCAACTTCAGGAGCACCAAAGTTTCCTCATGCCTGATCAACAAAGACCCAGCAAGCCAGAACACTAGTCCTCAGCAGAACCAACAGTGCTCTGCTACTTAAAGCCTGCTGCCACATACAAAAGGACAAAGACAAGGAAGGTTGAGATAAAAGTATTAACAAGCCGGAACTATCAAATGCGACTTGAAAAGCCTCAGCCAGTCTCAGTCAAAAGCAAAAATTCCCTTAACTGATCCACACGAGAAAACCTTCTGGGTTTCTCCCTCACATGCCTCCCAATAAATGTTCAAGACATACAAAGCAATATTAAAATAACTGGGATGATTCACCTAAGGGTCTCTGCTGACGTCTTAGTTAAGAATAAGCCAAAATTGAAATAACATCAGGATAAAATTGCTCCTTCCAATCTGTCACTGATCCAAATTTTCTGTCAAAAGGTAGCACGTGGGCAACCTTATTAATTATAGTTCCATTGGTATTAAAAGCAGGCCTAAATACTCCCTCCCACTGGAGAGATTTGACCTAGAGTAAAAAGAGAGGAAATATTGACTGGAATTGCTTATCAGATGAAGAGCAGCATCTTTGGCTAATTAAATAGAGTTACTTATTTTCATATGGCTTAAACAGGACCCAATACTATAACACCTGTTTTTAGTTCAATGTAATCTGCAAATCGGTGAATTAATCCAGTTTTGCATATTCATCTGCAAAAGTTACTAGCTCATAGAAAGTTTTCTGCTTGCCTCTTGCGTGCCTGTAACTTATATTAGCCATTTATACCCTAAAGGAGGAATATGTTGTTGCTCCTTGCCTGGTTGCAGGTTTTCTTAGCTAGTACAGGTGCCCAGGTGAGTTGCAATTTACAGCTTTGAATTAATAGTCAGGTGGATAATAAAAAAACCAAAACCTGTTTTTTGTTGGATAGGCCATCCATCAATTTCTTTCACTCCATTGGTGTCTATTCATTCCCCATAGTTGCATGAGCTGGAGAGGTGAGGCGGTGGGGCCCCTTCCATCAGACCAGTCACCATTTGGCTCTTCCACTCCACTAACAGGCAATGCACCGGCCACATCAGAGAAAATAATGTAAGAGTGTAAGGCCCCCTTCTATGGGACCAACTACTGTTTGGTTCCTCCAAGATGATGTGTGCCAGGCACATTCCACCCAAATCATTATATAACCTTATTACAGATCTGAATTTACTCTTTACCCCCTTCTATTATCACCCTTTCCTTTTTGTAGCCAACGGATTGGTGGCCATGATTTTAAACAGTAAAGTGTCTTGAGCAAATGGGGGGGGGAGTGGAATATAAATGCGGTCAATAAATAATACAATAAATCCCTATTATTAGCACACAGCAAGGCAAAACTGCTTCATAGAGTTGTAGAGTTGGAAGGGACCATGAGGGTCCTCTAGTCCAACCCCCCTGCAGCTAATGGGTTTGATACTACATTGTTAAAGTGAAAGTGACTCACCTCTATTCCTAACAATAGTAGGGCTTACCCACCATGCTACCCATAATGCAGCTGATTTGGGGCTCAGAGATAGATATTTAGACAGTAAGCAGCCATGACCTACCCAAAGCTCCCATCATTGAAATAGGGGGTGGGGTGGGGGGCAACAGACAACATACAGCCTTGACTTCCCATTCTGCCTTGAAAATAGTAAATTGAGTGACAGAACAATCAAGCAGAAAGAGAAAACTGCTGTAGCTCCATATGCCTCTCTGCCTGCCTGGTGTTTAGTTTCCACCTCAAATGACCATGGTAAAGAAACTGAAGGTACATTCTTTCACCTTTGGTGGACGTGCCCAAAGATTAAGGCTTTCTGGGAAATGATATATAATGAATTAAAAAAGGTATTTAAGAATACCTTCTTGAAGAAACCAGAGGCCTTTCTCCTGGGCATAGTCGGCCAATCGGTGTTAAAAAAGGATAGAACTTTCTTTATGTACGCAACAACAGCAGCAAGAATACTCATCGCAAAGTATTGGAAGACACAAGAGCTACCAACACTGGAGGAATGGCAGATGAAACTGATGGACTATATGGAACTGGCGGAAATGACTGGTAGAATTCGTGACCAGGGAGAAGAGTCGGTGGAAGAAGATTGGAAGAAATTTAAAGATTACCTACAGAAACATTGCAAAATTAAAGAATGTTAGAGTGATGATGGATTGAAATTAAGTGGTTTCTAGCTGCACAGACTTTAAAGTTATAGACAGATTAAGATTAGGGATTAGGAATAAAAAGGTTAAAAGAATGGAAAATTGGCTATTAATAGATAAAAATTTAATGTTATATTATATTAAGATTAAGGATTGGGATTAAAAAAGAGGGAAAGGAATTGCTGGACAAACAAACTGAATTGGAATACAAAAGAGGGAGGTATGAGGAGGTCCAGAAAATAAGTTAATTCAAAAGCAGTGATGAAAAGATGGAATTGTTGTTAACTGTTTTTTCTTTTTTTATTTTATATTGTGTATTTTTCTTTTTACTTTTAAATTCTTTTTTATTGATGTGTCTTTTTTTTATCTGAAACTTTAATAAATATCATAAAAAAAACAACAACAAATGACCATGGTAACATGCAAACGGAAAGGGTCAAACTGCATGGGACCCCGGGTCTGCAGACACCCGGAAAAGATAACAAATGGAGCTCACTTCCACTCTTCAGCAAGCGCTTCTCTTCCTCCTTCAGCTTGTTCTGCATCAAACGCAAAGTGTTCTCTGCTTCCTGCAGGGAAGGGAAAACATCAAAATCAGAAAGGCAGCTGCACCATGCTTCCGCTCAGGAGGGTAACAAGACATAAGCTGTTTCTTGGGTTAATATTAAAGGCTTTGCAGCCAGCTTAGTTCCATAGAATGGGACTTTAAAAAAAGTGACTATAAGTTTCTCTCTAAATTAGATCAACTCTAGCTGTTCAAAAGTGCTGCAAACCTTTGAATCTGGGCACACTCCTCTTTGATTTGTGCCAGAAGATTATTCCATGAGGTTCAGTAGACTAAAACGCTTTTTATGTAACTTGTTGGTTCAATAAAAGAACATCTACAAATGTTAATCAACTGTCTATGAGAATTCATACAATTTCTGTGTGTGCTAGCCATGAGGGAAGTAAAGCCACTTTCCCTGCAACCAGTATGAAAGCTAACTGGGCTAACTTTGGTCCTTATCCCTAGCCTGCTTAGAAGAAGCACCTCCTGAGCTCGTTCCAGTCATGTCTGCCAACTTCATTTGCAGTTGGAGCCAGCTCAGAGGTGCTGCCTTGTGGCACAGCAAAGCACAATGGTAAATGTTAAACGGAAGGGTGGTAAAGGTAAAGGTACCCCTGCTTGTATGGGCCAGTCGTGTCCGACTCTAGGGTTGCGTGCTCATCTCGCTCTAGAGGCCGTGAGCCGGCGCCGTCCGAAGACACTTCCGGGTCACGTGGCCAGCGTGACGAAGCTGCACTGGTGAGCCAGCACCAGTGCAGCACACGGAAACACCGTTTACCTTCCCGCTATAAAGCGGTACCTATTTATCTACTTGCATTTTGATGTGCTTTTGAACTGCTAGGTGGGCAGGAGCTGGGACCGAACAACGGGAGCTCACCCCGCTGCGGGGATTCGAACCGCCGACCATACGATCAGCAAGTCCTAGGCACTGAGGTTTTACCCACAGCGCCACCCGCGTCCCCCTTAAAGGGAAGGGTAAGTACCCCTTTTTAGTGCTGTCACCCACTAAAGGGAGTGGGGGAGAAGAGCAGAATGACAAGGGCAGAGGAGAAAGTGCTTCTAGCCTCCATTTTTATTTACTAGTCTGCTTTTTTTAAGCCAGCAAGTAAAAATTCAGATATGCACTGCCAGTTGTGTTGGTTTTACACTTCTTTGTATAGTTGCTGTGGCAGAACGAAACAAAGAGCTATACCCTAAAGCCATGTACAATACTTGGAAATGTATTCCAAGTGCTTCTGTGACTACTTGTACACTCAAAGCACCTGCACATGGGTTTATGCAATTAATCTAGGAAGGGAAATATCCTTCAAAGGTCAAAAACTTAAAGCAATTTCATCACTATTATGCCGACAACAATATGGCAAAGCAGCCAGTTCTATGAACTTCGCTGCTTTCTCTGCCTAGGGTAGAATACATGCTCCAGAGTGATGCACATCGGCTCATGTTTCTTACCATAACACATTTTCTTACATTGCTTACTCCTTGATTCCAACTATGGTCGAGAGAAGCAAACTTATGTGTGCTCTAGCCCACAAATACTGTTCAGGACCTTGCGGGTAGTTCACTGACATACAGAGGGAGTGTGGTGGTGGGGGAGATGTACAATTAACGAATGAGAACAGGAGTGCAAGATCTGCCACCCTCCTGCTTCCTCTGTGCCCGCCACCTCTTCTCTCTCACTGGGTGACAAACAGGAAGGAGGCTGGGACCCAACAGGACGAGACCCTTCTCCTGCCAGCTTGTGTAGGATCCCACCAGGGCTCAATTTACTTGTTAGATGATTTATAAACCACCACTCATCAAAACAGATTGGATGGATTTCATAATTTATTGTATTTGTTTTCGTAAATAGTTTTTTTTAAAGAAAATTTCTTTTAGAATTGTATAATACAATTAAAGCAACAAACGAAAAATAAAAAGGAAAGTCAACATAGGAAAGGAGGGCAGAAAGGCTTCCTATGGGCATCTAATTGGCCACTGTGGGAACAGAATGCTATATGCCAAAGGGGTCTTTGTCCTGATCCTGCAGGCCTCTTCATATGCCTACCCTTCCTGTCCACTGGGCCAGCTTGGGCAGAAAGGGCTATCAAAAGGTACCCTTTGGGGCCAGGACCTTGCCTAAGCCACAGGACCTTGGCTTTGGGACATTTCTTGGCATCCCTTGGCTCGTCTCAACTTGGGCAGCTACCAATGGCTGACCCCTGCCACAGAGGGAGAGAGGAAAGGGAAGAGGAATGTTCAGGGGGTGAGACTAGATGACCCTTGAAGTCCATTCCAACTCTGCAATTCCATAATTCTATAATCTGAATCCATGGGTATTGCCTCTGCAAGCAATCCTGGAATGACAACATAAGAAGGGCTTGCTGGATTAAGCCAGCAGCACATCGATTCCAGTCTCCTGTTCTCACAGTAGCCAACCAGATGCCCCCCTCCTATAGGAAGCCCACAAACAGGACCCGAGTTCAACAACACTCTCCCCACTTGTGAGTCCCAGCAACTGGTTTCCAGATGCGTAATGCCTCTAACAGTGGAGGTAGAGCATAGCTATCATGGTTGGCAGCCTCTACGAATTTGTCTAATCCTCTTTTAAAGCCACCAAAAGAAATCCATCTAGTTACACTAGCCCACTAGCTACAGTTGCTCTGCACCGAACTGAACTGATTGCAAATCTTAAGATGATTTCCTTGTATCTCACTCCTGCTCCAATAGGCACAACAGATTGCCCAATATCATGACAGACAGAGTCTCCAGCGAGAAAGTGTTAGACATAGCATTTGGGAGCCCTGTCTACCACAATGGTAAATGCATCCATTTATTTCCCATGTCACAGATACTAATTAATAGTTTTCCAAATGTCACCCCTGGGGGCAGAGTGGGGAGAGTACAGGACCCAGAGGCAATTAATCATTTTGCAAAAAGCTATAAAAGGGGGGTATTGATCTTAGAAGCAGAACGGAACTGAGCGTCTGCAACGCTATTTCCAAAGAGTCTAATAGCAGCTGCTACGGAAGGGTACTGTGAAAAACATGCCATCAGTTAGCAGGAGGCTGATGATCTATTGCTAAACAAGCTCTGCAAGGCACAGCATTGTTTAACCAATGATATTCCCAGTGAAGCCTCTGCTGCCTTGGACATCCACAACCTGCTCAGGTCCACATTGAAAACATTCTGCTTACCACAACACAATCTGACTTCTATAGGCAGAATTAAAATACAATTAGAATGTAAACCATTTACTGCCTTTATTCCAAATTCTATCTTGTCGGCAGGACTTTGGATGCCAGTTTTCTATCCTTCCCTGCGTCTTCTCTATCCTTGGATGTAAAAACTGCTGTAGAATCTATATGACGTGTTTCTTTTGACTGATTCAGCAAAAAAAACCTATTTTGGGTATACTGGACTCCACAGCAGCTCTGTATGAATGGGTTGTCTAAGCCAGATGCATTTTGGAGGTGTAATGCTAGAAATGTCTCATTGAGGCATATGATGTGGGCTTCCCCATGAAATGCCCTGTTTGGTATGAAGTTGCTGTCTGTATCAGTTTTGTACTGGTAAAATATCTGCAGATGTTTGTGTACTTTAAGTTATATTCCTGCAAAATAAGGACTAACAACTGGACAACAAAAATGGAATTTAGGAGCCCTTGCAGTTGCTAAGAGACATATACCTTGAGCATGGAAGGATAAATATTCACCATCTATTATGCAACGGTTTGAAGTCCTTAATGCCCTTGCTGCAGTTGAAAGCACTTTCTTGAAACACCAACTTCCTTTGGATATCTGTTTTGACATTTGGAGGGCATTTATGAATCTTTATGTGTATCTTAAGATGGACATATTGATGTTTATTTTATTGTGAATGTGAGATGACAATTGCACTTTTGCTTTCTTTAATAAATCTGCAGTAAAAAAGAAATGTAAATTTATTGGAGCAAGAAATGTAAATCTTATCTTTTCTCAGTAGGCTATTTTCTACACATCCTTTCCTAGCCTCCATGCAGGCTTGTGTTTGTGGAAGGGTTTTTATGGATTTTTTGTTTTACTATGCATTTGGTATGCTTTATTTTGTATTTTTCTGTTGTGAACCACTCTGGAATCTTTGAATAAAGTACAGTATACAAATGTAATAAATAAATAATAATACTTCAAACTCAATATTCACAAGTCAGAGAAAGCTACCCTTTCAGAAGGCATCAGAGAAGCTATTGATTCTCCCCCTCAAAAAAATACCTGGCTATATGTACCAACAGTTTGGCTTAGTAAAAGGTAGCTTCTGAGGAGCTGGGTTTTCTCAAATCATACATGACACATGACTTTAAGTTGCCAAGAAAATGTCCCTAGACCTTTTTTGCTGGCAATAAAATAATAATAATAATAATTTTATTATTTATACCCTACCCATCTGACTGGGTTTCCCCAGCCACTCTGGGCGACTTACAGCACATAAAAATTGCAAAACGTTAGACGTTAAAATTTTCCTGATACAGGGAAATGTATGACTGATGGGGAGTTGCAGTCCAAAATATATGGAGGGCACCAGGTTGGGCGACGCCGTTTTAGCTGGAGAAGCCAGAAACTGACCCTGGGTCCTCCTCCTCTGTGCAAAGCAGTTGTTCTGTCACCAAACTACAATCCCTGCCCAGCAAAGGGGCTTTTAGAAAGACAACTGGCTCAACACTTGCACAGCATCCTGTCCTCTGACTGATCATGACTTACGCTATAAAAAAATCATTACAAATCAGTCTTTAATTTTAAAATGATATTTCCTAGCCTGTAGTAGAACACTCTTTCCCCCCGTGTTCTTGAAAGAATTAATGAGCATCATGACTGATTGCTTCATCTGGTAGTCAACAACCCTGTCAACTTTTTAAAATATATAACTAAATGAATTTTGACAAGCAGCTGGCAGAAAAAAGTGAAACTTCTGTAACATATTGGAGAAATTCCCAACACAGGTGCACAACCATTTTCAAGCTCTCTTCACCATTAGCCAAGGTAAGGCAGCCCACCTCAGGCAGCAGATTTGAGAGCACATTAAGAAAAGCAGCAAGTTCTCATTTAATTCTTATATTTTCCAACGTTTGGAACCTATTTGCATCATCTGCCTCAGGCATCAGGCCATATCCACCAGAGAGAAAAACCTTCCTGCAATTATTCATGCTCTGGTAATATTGCTGTTGGTTATTGCAATATGTCATTACAACCATCCCATCAGGCCATAGCAGAGGGAGAGACACGGGACTGCGGAGCATTTTCTTGCCTTCTGCTGATAGAACAGCAACATTTGCCTCCTCATCTCCTTGAAATCTTTTCATTTCAGTGATCATTACAAGATTAAGTGTTTGTGTCTATGTTTCTTTTTCTCCTTTTCCCTCCCTAATGTCTGCTCCTATTGCATCATATTTTTTCTTAGATTGTATGTCTGAAGGACTCAGTTCTCTGGGAGCATTTCTCAGCTGAGGAGCAAAATAAAAATGTTTTAAATAAATATGAAGACTAGGTGTTACCTTAAGAGAATTGGTTCAGAACCTGACAGCAACATTTTAAAAGCCTTTCTCCACCCCCTCCCTCCAGTATTTTATTTTTAAGCAAAGAAGAATTTGAGGCAAATCTGATACATCTATATAAGCTTAGTGGCCAGTTCCTTAACATTTGCTTTTTCAAGTTTAGGAATGTGAGCCACTGACTTCGGTCCCAGAACACTGCCACCCCAGTGATGACAAATCTCACCATATCTCTCATTGTAGTTCCTGTGAGGCAGTAGATAAAGAGGGAAAGATGGGAAGCAAATCCCACTTCTCCAGCTTTGCACTGAATTTTCAGTTTCATTATGAAAATGCTGACCCAGTGAGCATCTGATACCAATTGCCCTGTTTCCAAGCTTCCCATAGGCATCTGGCTGGCTACTTTGAGAATAGGATGCTGACCTAGGTGGTCCTTTTGGTCTCATCCAGCAGGGGTTCCTCTTATGCTCTTAAATAAAGCATTGTGTTTTTCGTCTAAACTGCATCTATATTCCTCATTCTTAATAATGTTGTACACTGGATCTCCCACCCTTTCATGTTATGGAAGTCACAATGTCTGCCCATTCTAAGGAGGGAGTACACACTTCACTTAAAAGATTGTGATGAAAACTGTTATCAATCTGAGATCCTGAGCTAGGTGGAGCACAGTAACCGAAAAGAAGGGCAAAGGCTTCTTGAATCCCAGCAACAAAGATGTGTGCCTTTGGTATCTTCACAAGGCTATATTCAGAAAGACAGGTGAGCCAGAAGCTCTGTGACCCTCCAAGTATTGTTGGACTCCAATGCCTGCCAAGCCCAGCCAGCATGTTATCCCAGCAGGGATGCTGGAGTTTTATTACAGCAACTTCTGGAGGACCACAGGTTCCCCATCTCAGCTCTAAACCTATGTGTTTCTTGCAGCCTTTTATTCCCTAAGGTCCTGGGCACAATGGCGCAAGAAGAGTCCTTGACCGTGCAGTATCCTTATGATGCTATCAACAGGAACTTCAAGTTTCAACAGTCCCTTCTTTATGTCAGCAGTTCCAGAGCAGGAGACATTAATCCTGCCTGGTATCTTGTCCTAACAGCTTGCAGATAAGCACAATGTCCAGGGGAAAATGCCAATTTCCTACTAACAGGAGCTCAAAATCTTCACACTTGAGCACAATGCACATTCAATAGGAAAGAGACTGAAATTCAAAATTATGGCTGGGAGGGAGATTAAGGAAGGAAGAAACAAAGTGACAACATTGGGCAAAAGAAAAGAAAGGCCCTCAAGAGACCATGGTGTATTAACAGAGTACTCTTCAAACAATGAGTCCCCCGTTTTCAATGACCAAAAAACAAAGCCACCAATCTGGGACATCTCCAATTAACTCAACCGTGCCTATATTGTAATAGAAATTGCCTCAACTGCTCTCATATTTATTTGCTTACTTCTCTCTCTGGACCTAGGGAAAGTACAAATTGTAATGATTCAATAAAAGTTCATTTGATACTCTCTTGGCATATTACAGTTCTATTGTATTAGTTTATTTGGTGTGTTGGTTTCCATGCATGGTCTTTATGTAAATATGTGGATGAGTCCATGGTGTGAACGCCATGATCAGTGTACATAGTTTGTCAAATTATGTCAGATGAAGAAATTACTAGAGCAGCTGGGGCCTCTCAGAGCCTTATAAATAAATATTTTACCAACAAGGAGTATCACAATTTACTCTTGAATATTCCGCTATTGTTTAAGGCGCCCCTGTGCATTCGGAAGCCGCACCTTGGTTTACAAACTTTTCAGAAGTCGAACGGATTCTGTTTGGCTTCCGAAGTATGTCTGTACAGTGGTGCCCCGCAAGACGAATGCCTCGCAAGACGGAAAACTCGCTAGACGAAAGGGTTTTCCGTTTTTGAGCTGCTTCGCAAGACGAATTTCCCTATGGGCTTGCTTTGCAAGACGAAACGTCTTGCAAGTTTGTTTCCTTTTCTTAACACCGTTAATACAGTTGCGACTTGACTTCGAGGAGCAACTCATAGAACGCAGTGTACATAGTAGCCTTTTTGAGGTTTTTAAAGACTTTGGTGATTGTTTAAGCTTTTCCAAAACTTCATTTGCAGACAAGTTAAGCTTTTAAAACGTTTTGCGGGGGTTTTGGATTTTGGGTTGGGGTGTTTGGAATTCAAGGACTTGGTGTTGGGGAGGGGTTTGCAAGAACCTGGAAGCTTGTGTGTTTTTTTTCTGCATTTTTAATGATTTTCTGTGACCATTGGGCCACTCTGCTGTTTTTTTAAAAAAATTCTGGATTTGAATTTCTGTGTGCTGGGTGGCTGGGGGAACAGTTGGGGAGGGGTTTGCAAGAATCTGGAAGCTTGTGTGGTTTTTTTTCTGCATTTTTATGATTTTCTGTGACCATTGGGCCACTCTGCTATTTTTATAAAAAAATTCTGGATTTGAATTTCTGTGTGCTGGGTGGCTGGGGGAACAGTTGGGGAGGGGTTTGCAGGAATCTGGAAGCTTGTGTGTTTTTTTCTGCATTTTTGTGATTTTCTGTGGCCACTGGGCCACTCTGCTGTTTTTTTAAAAAAATTCTGGATTTGAATTTCTGTGTGCTGGGTGACTGGGGGGAACAGTTGGGGAGGGGTTTGCAACAGTTGGGGAGGGGTTTGCAACAGTTGGGGAGGTTGTTGTACCAAATTTGGCTTTGTTTGGACTTTTTTTGGCCATAGGAACGCATTAATTGATTTTCAATGCATTCCTATGGGAATTCGTGATTCGCAAGACGAAAAATTCGCTAGACGAAAAAACTCGCGGAACGAATTAATTTCGTCTTGCGAGGCACCACTGTAGTTTATACTGAAAGCAGGAGTTTGGAGGGGACCCCAAATTTCAGGGTCCGTAGTTAATGAAGCTCTTCACATGGTGTTAAGGGGACAGTGCTGGTGGCTGCTCACACCTACAGCATCGGTTAGCCTTAACAAGGACTGAAAGAGGCCACCTTTATAAAAGCACTCAGAAATCAAGCACAATAAAAAATAATTGCGAGTGTAGCATGGCTTAACAAGTTTTTGTTTCCCCTCCTCTGTCTCTGTTAACTTGACCGCATGCCAGCTGCTGCTTTGATATCAGAATGCTTCACTAGCAGACCATAATGACGAGCTGGGATTTAAACTCTTCTCAGCAGTTAAGATATGTCACGATTGCATAATGAATGGTAACTCAGATACCAATAGGCAGCACACGCAAGCTTTCCCAAGCCAAGCTTCTGCAGGAACAATTTGTACACAAGAATTTAATTGTAATGAATTCTCCTCAATAGAAGCGTCACAAAGGAGAGTTAATCATTTCAGGATTGATTGCGCTACATGGAAATTTAAATTACAGCTCCTGCTGCCTCCTTGAAGGAGAATGGCAGCGCTCGGCGTGCATCGCAGATGGTCAGGGGCCTTCAGGGAAATGTGGGAGATGACTGGCATTTCTGGGCCTCTGTTGTCCCCAGGAGCCTAAGAAGAGTCCTGCTGGACTAGAGCAAAAGGTCTTCTGGCCCAGCAGCCTGTTTCCAAAAGTGTCCAGCCAGATGCTTATGGGAAACCCACAGAAAGGCACAGAGCCTCCCCCTTGCAAACCCTGTGTCCTGCCCCCACCTCACCACCAGAAATGGAGATTCAGAGAACCGAGTGGGATCTGGGGGGGGGTGTCGCAGTGTATTCCCTCTCCTAGAGGGAGTGCTCCTAATCAGGTTTCCAGCCACTTACTCCCTCCAAGGCAGGGCATTCCTTATTATTCCGATTTTCTTTTACAGTTGATATTCAACATCCTGAAGCTACCGGGCATCCTCAGTCTCCCTTAGACTGCTTTTTTGAGTTTTCATGATATATTTTCTTTTTGTACTTCTACCTACTTCTTGCTTCACCCAAGCATGCAGATACTACCCTCATTTTCATTGCCTCCATTTTGGCTCCATGGCCCAAGTTAGCTATTAGAGATAGGCTTACTACTATTGGGCAAGCTAGGTTGCCACTTCCTCTCAAGGGATACGGTAGCACAGCACTACCCTGTGCTCTTCAGCTGATGCCCTTCTCTCTGTGTGTGAGGAGGGTAGTGAAAAGAGAATGGGACGTCTGAGTAGTGGCTCCCCAGTTGTGAAATGCTTTCCCCAGAGAGGCACGCTGGGCTCCTTCACTATCTGCTTTTATTCAGCCAGGCTTTTGGAGTTTAATTCTCTGCATATTTTCAGTGGAGTGGCACTGAGTTGGGTTTGCACTTTTATGCATATTGTTGTATTTTAAAGGTAAAAAGGTAAAGGACCCCTGACAGTTAAGTCCAGTCACAGACGACACTGGGGTTGCGACGCTCATCTCGCTTTACAGGCCGAGGGAGCCGGCGTTTGTCCGCAAACAGTTTTCCGGGTCATGTGGCCAGCATGAATAAGCCGCTTCTGGCTCAACGGAACACCGAAACCAGAGCAGCGCACAGAAACGCCGTTTACCTTCCCGCAGGAGCAGTACCTATTTATCTACTTGCACTTTTTGGAGTGCTTTCGAACTGCTAGATTGGCAGGAGCTGGGACTGAGCAACGGGAGCTCACCCTGTTGCGGGGATTCGAACCGCCAACCTTCTGATCAGCAAGCCTAAGAGGCTCAGTGGTTTAGACCACAGCGCCAGCCGCGTCCTTTGTTGTATTTTAGGTTGTTTTTATTCTTGTTTTTCTTAACAACAACAACGTGGTTAGACATGCATATTTCCCTCCAAGGACTATGCTAGTGCTTGTATAAGAGCAGGAATCTTGAGGACAAAGATCTGCTATATTACATAGACCTGTAGGCCTTCCGTCTTTTGGGGATGTGGGGAAGAGGGGGGAGTTTTAAGAGACTGCAGCATGGCATCCACAGTGCTGCACTAATTAAAATGTGAAAACCTTTCTTCAGTCTTTAAATCACTTTTCCAATTATGAAACGCAACCTACCCGATGTCATTAGTTGTGAAACAACAGCAGAGAACACAAGCCACTGCATCTGCCAAGTGTTCCAGAGATTACAGGCCAATTACTCAATGATGCTCTTTAGGCTGGAACACAGTTTCACTTGATAAATATTCATTTGTCCACCAGCTCATTCCTCAATACTCAAAGAACCCAGGGAAGCAGATTAACCTAACCACATAGTCATCGCCATTGTCTTAGCATGTTGTTGAGTGAAATTCTGAAAAAGGGGGCACAAAGCATACCATTTCCTCTGCACAATAATTGCAAAAGACATATTTACTGGAACAAAGGCAAGTCAGTATACAAAGATCAATGAGCCATTTGATTATTTAGATGAGTGGGTGTTGCAAAGATTGGAATTCAATTATTTATGATTTCAAGTCCTATTTTTCTTTGACTCCCAGCAAGCGGCACATATTCCAAAGGGGCAGGGCTAATCTGACACCAAAGTGTCCTGGCAAACGTAATGAAAGGACAGTCAGGAAGAAGAGGAAAGGAAGAGAGAAACAGCCCTTTTAGAACTGTGCCTTGATCTCCCATTGTGTACAGCACTAAATCATAAATCTGCAGTGGTTCAGAAAGCGGGGTGAGACAGGGCGAGGATTTTTGAAGTCCATGGTGCTTCTTCTGTTATGACACACTTCTTAAAAACAACACCACCTGTCAATGGGCAGGTTTTCAATGTTGCAGACCCTGAATGGGGAAGAGCTACCTGTGAACAGTGCCTATTGGCTCATCCATACAAAGTCATTAACCCATTATAACCACACACACACACTTGTGTCCCCTGAGCATTTCTGAAATTTTAAAACAAATGTTTGAAGTTATTATTAAAATAAAATAAATAAATGACAGACAAGTCAATCAAAATACATGTGGCAGACCATACTGGGCAGACCATCTGAAGCAAGGAAGTAAGATGACTCAACTAGTATTCAAGGCACTGCCATGTATACCTTTCATGCAAATTACACAGGCAGGAGGAAACTGTGCTCAGCGCATGACTGAACAACCCACTTAACTTTTTAAAATTACATCCGTCTTCACCTAGCATTTTTAATTTATTTATTTATAATTATGTTTTATTTTTCTTGGTCTTTGTATACCTCCTTTCAGAAAGAGCAACTCTGAGCAGATGGGTAACAGCAGTCGGATTCTACCATAAGCAAATGGGTCAAGCCCCCAAAACAGTGACAGAAAACAAGAAAGTAAGCCTGTATTGGAACCTGGGTTGGTGCACACTTGAGGATAAATATAGACAAATCTGCAGAAATGCATACAGAAGCATGTGGGGTAGAAATAAAGACTAAAGGAGTTCATGCAATATTTGAGAACCCTCACCTCAAATCTCTCCTGCTCCATTCGGTGCTGGTCATCCAGTTGCTGTTCCAGATATGTAAGGTTACGGAATTTTTCCAGGTAACAGCTATATTGTTTCTGCAGTTCCTCCTCAATCTTCTCATATTCATCCATAAAAGCTGGGCTGATGGGGACACAAGAAAAAAGGAACATGGGAGAATCTGTGAGTTTTGTTTTTTTAGCTGTGTGATGAACTGAGGGATTTCAAGCACGACCTTACCTCCCACCCAGCTCCCAAATATTTTCTGGGAACATTTAAAACATTCTATCAGGTTAAACCAATTCTAGAATATGCTCAACTACTCTTTTTCCAATATCTTCCAAGTTAGAAATACAGTTAATCCATTATTATGGATTCATGGTTCATTAAGAGAGCCAACAAAATTTAAGGTCCTAATTACATCTGAAAACTATGTCAAGGGAGTCCTAAGTAAGATTTGATTGATTTTGAACCATCTGGACATAAATATCTAGTTAACTGGCAACAAAGCATGTTGATAATAATTCTAGAAGATAAATGAGTATGGATTTGGGAAAAAAATTCTTGCTTCACTTTAATTTTTTTTAAAATATAAATTCATTGATTTTTGGCTCCAGTGAGATTGAACAAAATATACCCAGAGACTACAGGTGATTGTTGGATATGTAAAACACTTGAGGCAAATATATTCCACATTATGTGGTTATATTAAAAAAATCCAGGTATCTTGGAATCTAGTATTATCAGAAATAAAAACTTCTAGGTTAGGATGTCCCAAGAGATCCAAAGGTAATATTATTTCCTTATCTAAAGGGCAGTATACCAGAAGATGATTTCGAAATGACAGCTTATTTGTTAACTGCAGCCAGAATGATAATCTGGCAGAATTCGAACAGTATCACCCTTCCTTCTGTAGATTCTTCTGTTCTTAGGAAGTAGGCAGGATGGTATGAGAGGAGGCAATCTTCAAGGTATCCTAACATGCATAAAACTTTTAAAGGAGAAACTGGCTCACTTGTCTTTTAATGATCCACAGGCAAAGAAGCCTGATAGGAAAGCCTTATTGGCCTGCATAAAGTCCCACAGATCCTTGACTACAACACATTAGAAACCAGCTTTCATTTTGTGATTTAAATATCTAGCCCATGAGTCTGCAGCTGCATTTGTCACAGTCAAAAACACAAAAACACCCAAATGTTTTTGTCCCAGAAGTCCCAGAAAAAAGGCAACAAGCAAAAAACAAAACAAAACCACTTTCCTCCATTCTTTATGATTTTTCACTCTTATATATGCATCTGGGATATACCATGCAGGATCACAATTAAAAAAAAACTAAAATCAGCTATATGGTCACTACAGACTGACCTCTCCAATATGAACCCATTTCTTTTAAAAACAAAGAGTCAAATGTCACAGATTCAATCTCATTTTAACAACTTTGTTTTTGTGCATTTTTAAAACAAATCATTTTTAAAAATTCAATTATCAAGTGATGCTCAGAGTAGGAAAATGTTGAGCCGTTTTCAAAAGGTCAAATGATTGGAAAATGGATAATTATGTAATTGCAATTAGAGAGTGTACATTAGCAGGTAGCAAGTATGCCGAGAGTGCTGTCGGGAATGCCCTTGGATTGGCAGGCTCTAATGCAGGAGAGGCAGGAGGAAACAGGGGAGAGGACTGAATGGGGAGCAACTGGGCTGGAGTAGATCTCATCTTTCTGCCCGAACATCAGCCACTTTGGATACGGGAGCAGGGATGCTGGCTTTCCCCACTGACCTTCCCTTAGAGAAGAGCCTCAGTGGAAGACGGAAAAAGCTCTGATCAGCCAAGGGAAGGAAGCAAAAGAGGAGGCAGCAGTGACTGAACAAGAGCCTGAACAGCAGGGCGCAGTCTTGTTGCCTAGAACCACATGGGAGCAGAACCCACCTACTCTGACGGACTGTGCGTTTGCAATGCCAACATTTCAACAAGGCAAGAGAATCTTGAGAGTGAGTGCACCACGCCTCTTCTTTAAAAACTTTGTGGGAAGGACATGGAAACTCGTCGAGACATCTTTGTCGCTTTTGAACTTCTTGTGCTGCTCCTGAATCGTGCCTCTTGCACCCTGTGTCTGCTGCTGACCCTGTTCCACTGCTTGCCTGAATAAATATCTGTTTCTTACTTACAAGTAAGAGCCTCTGCTTGTGTGTTTGGGGCCTCAATACTTATAGCACTTCTTGGACAAGAGAGTTTCTTAGGCTCATTGCAGGCTCTTCACTCTCCACTGCACTAGGCATTAAACATGCACATTAACACTCTGCATATTCATTTCTCATGGGACAAACAGTACGCCAGTAGTTACCGAACGCTCTGAAGGGTCTGTAACCGCTTGCGGTTTCTTTCCAGCTCCAATTTCCTCTTTTCAATCTTGGCCTCCAAACTGGTTTCATCTGATGCCACGTTGCTTAGCATGTCTTTGGTTTTCTGGACCTGCTCCTAAAAGAGATACTGCAAAGATGAGTGACAGTTGCTGGCAGAATCACCAGATGACATTTTTAGTTCCTAGCTCTGTTCTGGTCACATTTTCTGATGCTGTCTGGCTGTCTGTGCTAAAGAACCACTGGACTAGGACCAGGGAGATCCATGTTCAAATCTCCACTCAGCCACTAAGCTCACTGGGTAAGGCACAGCTACTCTCCCTCTCTTCACCTACCTCACAGAATTGTTGTGAACATGAAATACAGAAGTGAGGTAGGGGTGGGGGTGGAAAAACATGCATATCACCTAGGAAGCTACCTTATACTGAGTCAGACTATTGGTCATTCTGGCCCAATAATGTCTACACTGATTGGCAGTGGCTCTCTGGGTTTTGAGGCAGGGGACCTTCCCAGTCCTACTTGGGATCTTCTGCATGCAAAGCAGATGCTTGAAGGATAGGTGGGATTAAAATGTAAAACAATTGTAAATAAAAATTATACACCAAAGCAGCACACGTTCTGCACCAATATAAGAGCATATAAACAATGAGAACAGGAACAGTTTGCATAGTTTATTCTGCATTTGTTCTCATTTTTCTTGTCATGAGGAGGGGAAATTTTATGCATCTGCTCTTCTGACTTTTTTTTTTTATAAGATATTTATTAAGGTTTTCAAAATATTACAAAGTAAAAATAGAAAAATACAAAATAAAAATAGTTAAAAACAACTCAATCTTTCCATTACTTATTTTTCATTAGCTTGTTTCCCGGACCTCCTCACGCCTCCCTTTTTTGTATTCCAGTTCAGTTTGTTGGTTCAGCAAATCCTTCCCCTCTTTGTTTATCCTAATCTTTAATCTTAAAGTATTGTAACATTAAATTTTTACCTGTTAGTAATCCATTTTTCATATTCCCTTATAATATTTCAGCTAAAAACCATTTAATTTCTATCCAACATCATTCTAACATTCATTAATTTTACAATATTTCTGTAAATAGTCTTAAATTTCTTCCAATCTTCTTCCATCGACTCTTCTCCCTGGTCTCGGATTCTGCCAGTCATTTCCATGCTCTTCTGACTTTTTCCAAGTCATGCTGGAGGGTTTTTGTTTTTGGGTTGTGTGTGTGTGTGAGAGAGAGAGAGCGAGCGAGCGAGCACGTTACAACTCACAAACAGGAAAAGAACTTAGTAGGATAAGGATGAGTAATTTTGAGAAAAGTTTGGGCTAGCGCACAAATGCCTTAAGAATCTAGAAGTGATAGCCAGGATGATTCAAAGGACCATGCCAGACTTGGATGTGGAATATTTCAGAGCAGGACCAGTCCCATTTAGAAGGAAGGCAGAGTCCACTTCTGCTTGCTTAGAACTGCACACAAATAAACATTCCACAGCTCTTTGGTTCTAAGCATATTAGCAAAACAGAACCTTCATATGTTCAGAGGCAGTATACCTCTGAATACCAAATGCTGGAGGCAATTAATAGGGAGGGTTGTAACCTTCATCCCTTCCTTGTGAGCTTCCCAGAATCATCTGGCTATCCAATCATGCACCTGTTTTGTACCGGGTCCTTGTCTGCTTGTGACTCTCTTGATGCCTGTTTCCAAGTGCAGGCTGACACCTGGTTTGGAGTCTTTGCACCAGGGATGGGGGGACTTGTCGCCCTCCTGATGTTTTTGGACGACAACCCCATCATTCCTGCACACTTGCTATGCTGGCTGGGGATAGTGGGAACTGGAGGCCAGCAACATCTGGGAGGTTCCTCACCCCTGCTCCATCCCTAAAAGCTGGCCAACTAGTAACACCATGATTCGGAAACCTGCTGTGCAGCCAGGACTTTTATAATCAAAGAGAATACCCAGACCCAAGTTCTTTCTGTTATCTGTACTAATTCATGCTTTATGTACCGTAAACAGGCTTGATGGTTCTGTCTCAAACTCCCGATTCTCTGCGTGCATTTTTAATCTGAGGTGGAGGCCGCTGGGATCAATTAGACCCCCATTAAAGTGAGAAAGGCAAATTGTTGATGGTACAAATCCAAGATACTTGGGTCCTAAATGATCCCAACATGGGAAAAACTCCCCTTTTAACAATGCACCAGCTACTTTATACTGATGCAGCTGCTAAAACACAGGGGTACTAACCATTCAGCTTTATTTTTGTTTAACCAACGAGCTGTAGGGAACCTGATCTCACCGCTGCATAGTTGTACCCCAGTACTATCAACAAAAACGCTTAAGGAAATTTTATAATTACTTTTACATTAAATTGACATCATTGTCCAAGTGCAACCCTGTTATCAGATTAATAATGTGCTTTCTGCCAAACATACAAAGAAGCAAGAGCTCCCTGGTGGATACCTCAGAAGGAAAATAGGAAAGATCAGGGGAGTGCTGTCTGCAAATACAAAAGCGAAGGAACAACTGTTTGCAGGTTTTAATCCTCTGCCAATGTTTATAGCTGCTTAGGATAACTCTTCATTCAGAAGTGCTGCGTGCAAGGGAACATGCAGACCGCTTGGGCCTTGTTAAAAAGCCTCACTTATAGCCATTTCTCTCCCACACAAACCCAAATGTAATCAAAAGGATGAAAGGAAATCAAGAAAACAGGGAGGGAAGGGGAGAAAGGAAATACAAAAATGTGCTGCACAGAATCAAAGTACTGATGACCTTGAAAACCTTGCTCTTTCAGAATTATTAATTGGCAAAGAAGGACTATTTTGACATTTAAGCACCAATTGGGATTGCTCTAGCAGATGGCTACTATTGATTGGACTCACTAGTTTAGGCAGCTATGAAAGCAGGGCCCCATCTGCACTACGCATTTGAAGCAGTATCATACCACTCAAGCAGTTACGACGTCCCCTAAAGAATCCTGAGGACTGTAGTTGTTAAGAGTGCTGAGAGTTGTTTGGAGACCCCACGGTCTGCACAGAGCTATAATTAAACCAGAGTGGTTTAACAGCCAATCCCTCTTCCCAGGGAACTCTGAAAAATGGGGCCAGAGTGGTTTCTTGAAACTGTGCTTTATGGCGGGGTGGGTGTGGGGTGGAAGAACAGAGAGAGAGAGAGAGCAGTGCTGTTCTGATCAGGTCCAGTTTGCAGGTTTCCCACAGGCACCTAGTGGACCACTGTGAGAACTGGATGCTACACTAGGTGGGTCACTGGCCTGATCCAGCAGAGCTCTTCTGACGTACATATCAAATTTTAATTACAATATATTTCAAGTTATAGTCATGAAACAGGGCCTCTATTCCTAGTTATACATGTATAGTCCACTAGGTGGCTTTAGGCAAGCTACTGTCATTCAGCCAAAGGTCAACACCTGTAAAATATAGGTAGAAGAATATGCTAGCCTATTTTCACAGGGATGTTGCAAAGATTACTGGGGGCTAACCACAGGTGGGATGTGGGTGGCACTGTGGGTTAAACCACAGAGCCTAGGGCTTGCCGATCAGAAGGTCGGCGGTTCGAATCCCCGCGACGGGGTAAGCTCCCGTTGCTCAGTCCCTGCTCCTGCCAACCTAGCAGTCAAAGTGCAAGTAGATAAATAGGTACCACTCCGGTGGGAAGGTAAACGGTGTTTCCGTGTGCTGCTCTGGTTCGCCAGAAGCGGCTTATTCATGCTGGCCACATGACCCAGATGCTGTACGCCAGCTCCCTCAACCAGTAAAGCGAGATGAGCGCTGCAATCCCAGAGTCGTCCATGACTGGACCTAATGGTCAGGGGTCCCTTTACCTTTACCTAACCACACATTACATACAAATGCATGTAACAGACTCTAGCAGATTTAAAAACATTTTAAAGGGGAAACTGTGGGAAGGAAGGATGAACTGGAAGAAGCAGGTATGGAAAGGCTGATGCACTCCTTCCCTGCTCCAAAACACCCTCCAAGACACATATCTGCCATAGGTTCTGATCTGTGGAACACAGAATCTAAAGAAGTTTCAGGAATAAAAAAAAAGAACTTGAAAACAGAGTAAGATAGTATTGAACAAGATAACCGATTCATAATAAAGCCGCAGAATAAAACATTTTTTTAAAAAAGACCACCATCCTTACCAAAATGTCTTTGATGGCAACTCTCATCACCTTTTCAGTCTCATTTATCTCCAGAGGTCTGGCAATTGCTTCTGTTCTTATTTCCTGAAAGACAAAACCCACAAGAAATAGTTCCAAGTTTGAGCCTCTCATTAATATTCATTGAATGGCAGGCAGCTGAACTGCTTTGGCAAAGTGATTTGCATAACAAATGGAGTGTAGTCTAATATTTATGCACCAACAGCTTAAAGGCCTTCACAGAACTGGAGCCCATTAAGAAGGTTAACAAAGGTCCAGTGTTAAAATGTTTTCTGGCTTGGCAGCCATTAAAGCTGCCAACTAAGCAGCAAGTTTCATTAAAATTAAGGGGATTTATGACAAAATGTTGACTGGATGCTGAGAGCTCCTCTTAGCTCCCTTCCTGCCCCAGACAACAGCCCTTAGATCAGTAGTCTTCTTATCATTAACTCCTTTTTAATAGATTCAGGTAGGTAGCCATGTTGGTCTAACACAATCAAAATATAAAATAATAATAATAAATTGTACAGTAGCACCTTAGAGACCAACTAAGTTTGTTCTTGGTACAGTGGACGCTTGGGTTGTGAACGTGATCTGTGTGGGAAGCACGTTTGCAACCTGCAGCGTTTGCAACCTGCAGCGGCATGTTTGCGCACGCACGGGTTGCAATTTGGCGCTTCTGTGCATGCACAAAGTGCGATTTAGCACTTCTGCACATGCACGACCGCTGAAACCCGGAAGGAACCCGTTCCGGTACTTCCAGGTTTCGGCGCGTCCGTAAACCGAAAAAACGCAACCTGAAGCGTCATGGAGGAGAGAGGTCTATTTTGGCCAGGATAGCTAAAACAGAACTTCACAATCCAGGGGCAATTCACCTTTGAATACCAACAGATAAGAGGCAATAGAAGGGAAGGAATGTTCCCTTCATTCCCTGCTTGAGAGTTCCTAGAGGCTTTTGATTAGTCACTGTGGAAAAGGGGATGCTAGACTAGATGGATAGTGATTAAGTCTTGACGGAACCCTCTGTGGAGATTACAGAAACGACAGTACAATGAAGTTACCCTAGAAATATGATCATAAATCAAAACTTGATGAGTTTAAGACATAAGTGAATAACATTTAAGAAAACATGTTTAAAACTCAGCCTCCTTTCACGCAGCAGTTGTGGATACTAGCAGTAGCATTACTAATTATTGGAAGGAACAACTGAAGTAAAGACATCATGGCAACATCAGTCTGCTAGAGAAAAGGCCAGGCTAAAGGCAAGCTACTAATCACATTCAGTTTTTTCTGCTAAACACAGTTTGAGGTTATGTAATCCTAAAGCTGCAGTTTCAAAACACACTTACTAGGAAGTAAACTCTAATGAACAAAGTGAGAATTAAGCTAAGTTGGGTGGCCATCTGCCAGGGATGCTTGAGTGGAGATTCCTTCCTTTCGGGGGCTTGGACTGCAGGGCCCTTGGAACCCCTTCCTACTCTACAATTCTATTATTCATCTTTCGAATTGTGCTGTCATAATCTAAGGCTGTAATGCTATATATACAAACTTAAATGTAAGTGGCACCAAAGGGATAGGATTTACTTTTGAGAAAGCCTGCAAAAGAACGGGCTGTAAAGCTGTTGTCCTATGCACAAACCTACCTGGGAATAACCTCTGCTGAATGAAAATTTAGTTCTGCAAAAATGTGCATTGGATTTGTCTTACAGTACACCGTAGCTTTCTTTTTGTAGTTTAACATCATAAAGAAGAAGGTTGGTGTGGGAAGTTTAAGAACATATGGTCTGACTTGCAAGATCAGACACAAGGGAGAATGACAACTGGAGAACAGCTATGAGATGGGAACAATTATGAATATTATAATTGAAAGATATATCTTATGAATATTAAATTGATTAACAGAAAGGAAGTACTTGCAAAAATTGTTGCTTACTGTTTACTAGGACCATGATGTTGTGAAACAACTGCTAATTAGAAATCGGGGGAGCAGAGTGTAAAATTAACGCTGATGAGCGAAGGAGGAAAATCATTTTAAAACAATTAACATGTACACAATCCCACAGAGATGCTATTAGCAGGTGTGATTAATACTGCCAGTGTTGAATCACACTGCAATCAAAGGAAGGATACAACAGCAAAGAAGTCCCCCAAAAGTTGAAGGGAAAAGATTCAAAAATTAAGCCGATTTATCTCTTTTTACATCTTGGCCGAGGAGACCAGTGGAGGGAACATAGCTTTAGGTCCTGTGATTAGAAATGGAGTCTCAAGCATGCTTTCTCCTTGCTTTTCACCCTGTGTCAGTGGTGGTTTCTGCATAGGAGCAAGCAGCTATTATCTACTATATAAATAATGTTTCATTTCTGAAACTCTCTCAGTTCAGAAACTATCAGGTGCCAAGAAGAAGAAGAAGAAGAAGAAGAAGAAGAAGAAGAAGGGGGGGAGGAGAAGGAGAAAGAAAAAGGAGCACTTTAAGAGTATAGTAAGCCTGCAACATAAAGCACCTAAGTTGCTGGGTTTCTATATTTACAAGGATGTGATGAAGCATTACCTGCCTAGAGATTAAGAAGATGAGGTCCTGGCCTTAAAAGAAGTATGATGTTTTAGTATGGTTGGGACAGTTTGTCTTAAGTGTGCAAACTGAAATCATTCTGCCCTTGTATAATTTGTGTACATCAGGGGTCGGCAAACTACGGCCCCTGGGCCGGATCAGGTCCACCTGGGTCCTAAATCCGGCCCGCGCCGTGAAGCAGAGACTCCTGGCGATGGCGACAGGAGGAAGAGGCTGAGCAGCCGGCGGCTCTGCCACTCATTTATTTATTTATTTTATTTATTTATTTACGGCTATTAGCCCATAAAGTATGTACAAACATAAAAGCACAGAGGCATAAAGACTAATATATTCGGCACCAGAAGGTGAGCACCATGATGCAGGGGTGGGTCATTGAGCAGAGCCAGATAACAGCTTGGGGCCCGGAGAGCTCCAAGGGACGGATCCCAGAAAAGGAGAACTGAAGACGGGATCCGACATGCACTCTCTTCAAAACTGTCCGATTAGTTTTTGATGTTGTTGTTTTTGGTGGTTTTTGTGTGTGAGATAACTGCATTCAGGAATCTCGCCACCTGCAGAGTTACAGAAGGATCTGTATCCTGCAAAAGTAGTGCGGCATGTGACTCAGCAGGCCTGCCAACCAAGCGCAGTAAAGCAGGGCCCAGGAATTTAGTCCTGGCTATGCTATGTCGGGGACAGTTGAACATTATATGTGAGAGAGAATCAACAGTTTTCCCGTCACACACGCATAGCGGAGACACCAAACCCTTGGAAAATCTGTGGCTCAGCAGGTTCGATGGAAAGACATTGAACCTTGCACGAATAAATGCATGTCGGTGTGGTACAGATGAAAGAGATGACATGTATGATGGAAGGCCAAGTGGTGAGGTTATTCCGTGATACCTGGGGAGCAGACACCCTCACCCCCGGCGAGGTTGTGTTGATTTTCAATGTCTGCTAATCTCTGCTCAATAAGTCTTTTGGCTGAGCGTAAGTTCATCTTTAAGGAGTCCGCTGGGGAAATTCCGATGCTCAGAAGTTTGGCATGGATTTTTCCTACCCATGGATTGACAAAGTCGTCCCGCCAGAGGCACTGAAAAAGGTAATGGTTGGGAAGCCTGTGCCAGCTGGACAGCCAATAACCAAAGACTCGCTTCCAGATGACCGTCTCCAATGATGCAATCCTTAACTCCAGGCGTATGGCTGCGTTGCTCACACACATGGGGAGTTTCAGGAGGCGACGGAGAAACTGATTCTGCAATGTCCCCAACGATGTTAAATTGGACCCTGGGGCCCAGAGCGGGGCAGCATAACAGAGGGTGGAAACCACTTTTGCATGGTACACCTTCAATGCAGAAGGGATGTGGGAGGCTCCGTCGGCCGCAAAAAATTGGAGTAGAGTATAAAGTATTGTTTTCCCTTTGTTTAGTAAATACTGTATCTGTGGCTTCCAGCTTAGGTTGTAGTGAAAAAAGACTCCCAGGTATTTAAATTTGAAAACTTGTTCTAATTGGACTCCATCTAACTTCCAGCTGTAAGTTTTCCGAGACCTGGTAAAGACCAGGACTTTAGATTTCCCATGATTAATTGTCAGATGGTTGAGTTTGCAATAAGCCGCAAAAATCTTTAGAGCTCTGCATAAACCGACTCTAGAGTAGGAAAGGATCGCTGCATCGTCGGCATATAAGAGCAGAGGGCAGCGAAAATCAGCTAGGCGGGGGGCATGAATGTTGGCTTGAGACTCATTCAGAAAGAGCTTCATATCGCTAATAAACAAGTTGAAGAGGAGTGGGGCCAAAATGCAACCTTGGCGCACACCTCTATTTATTGGGACCTCGTTGGATAGGTTTCCCGCCGGTGTGAGTCTCACTCTAGCCGACGACCCATGGTGTAATTGGGTTATAAGCCATAACAGCCTTCTATCTATGCCCCATCTCTCTAATTTCTTCCATAGACAGTTTCTTGGGATACTGTCGAAGGCGGCCTTTAGGTCTATGAAAGCGACACATAGGCGCCCCCGACTCGGGGCAGAATATTTTCTGGCAAGATGATACATGATTACCATATGGTCAGTGGTCGAATAATTGTTCCTAAAGCCCGCTTGCTCGTGGCCAATCAAATTTGAGTCGTTTGCCCAATTGGACAGCTTGGACAGCAAAAATTTTGCATAGATTTTCCCGATGATAGACAAAAGGCTGATGTTCCGATAGTTCTCCGGGTCAGCAGGGGACCATTTTTATGGACTGGCACGATCACGGCCTCCTTCCATGACCTAGGGATAAGCCCCGTAGAATTAATTGCATCAAAGACTTTGGCCAGGATTTCAGCCCACCACCTCGGTTGCGCAACAATAGCCTCAGCAGGGACTAGATCCAGCCCGGGGGCTTTGCCCGTTTTCAGATCTAATATCAAGTCCATTATCAGGTCTGGGTCGGTAGAGGGCCACAAAGGTAGATGGTCGGCTCGGAATTCAGTGGATGAGTTGGATTCCTCTGCCAAGGAGAAATATTTGCTCAAGAATTGTTCCCATGTGGGCGCAG